TGCTATGGCAATGTTTGGATTCGTCATGCAAGGAGCCTACGTTTAGTAATAAATTCGTAAATTTCAAAATGTGAAGCGTTAGATAGTTCTTTAGCACTTGAAATTATTTCAATTTTGAAACTTCCTTTTTCACATGATAGTGCAAAAGCATCTAAATCTTAATAATATTTTAAAGCCAAATCATCAGCATGAGTTTGCAAAACTTTCAACTACGTTTCTGATATGAATTTAGTACCTAGTTCATTTTTCATACCGCCCTTGAAATTCTCACGATCAGATAACAAACACGGGTGATTTAGCTTCAGCGATAAGTAAAGACTTTTAATAATTCTACATAGTATGTTTTGTAATAATAATATTACAGTGTGCAGTATTTTAGACTGTTCTACTTAATTATTTAAAAAATTGTTTATGAAATATTTTCCTTGATAAATATTATCATTATTATCTTCTATTGCTGACTAGTCTTGTAATCTTATTTATATCGAATTGTTAGTGTCACATAATGATAACTTAAATTAATGAATTATACAAATAAATATGACAAGTTTTGAATTATTTTAGGTATTGCCCCGCCTAAATTGAAACAAAGTCGGCTTAATTTAAATAACCAATCAAAAAAAAAAAAAAAAAAAAACATTAAAAAATGTGAACATAAAATTGACAAAAAATAAAAATGTTCAAAGAGAAACAAAAATTTGACAGGGTCTGTGTACAAAATTATTACGAGGGCCGATTTTTCAGATACGTCGTCGGAACCGACTATCAAAGACCCTATTAAATAAATTCTAATTTTTATAATTTTATAAGGAATTATAATGTCACTAATAATATAACTAGGCATCTTTCGAAGGGAAATTCGCTGTTGGATTTAATCTACTAGTCATATATTATTATTATGGCAGTACGAGGTGGCCTTTGATGGCGTCACCTATTTTACGCGTCGCAAGGGAGGAGCTGGTGATGGCGCCGTCGAAACTGCGAGCTTTGTACCACGATCTCATGACATGGGTCGGTGCCGGCGACGATAGCATTTACAACTGGTAAATTAAAGGAAAAACCAATAGATACAAAAGAAAACCGCATTTCACTCACAAAACAAAATTTGCTTTAAGAAAAATGCTATAAATTGAATATCGATGTAAGATTTCTGGTAAAAAACAAAATAACAATCTCACACAAGATTTATTAAACTCATGCATTCTCTCAGAATCTAAAATAGACAATAAATAATATTGTCATAAATAACATAAAATAAAAATAAATTAATAGACTTACAATAAAAGTCTGCGATAACTAGGTATCATATGTAATAAGTATACTTTTATTTGAAATAGTAATTTATGAAAAAATGTGCTCTATCAAAATATTAAGAAATAATTATGTTAAAGCATATGAAACACTATATTAATACAATACCAGAAATAACATTAATTATTAATAAATAAATAAGTAAATAATTTTATCATAACAATATGAAATCATATAATTGCCTATACACATATACCTACTGGGTATAAAATTATAATATTACATAGCTACCATAGTGTCATCACTTAACTGATATTAATTTATCATTAAAGATATTTTTTTGATTTGAAAATAAAACCATTTATTTTGTGACACTTTTCACTAGGTAGTGCAGTAATACAAAAAATAGGTAATATGATTTGCGCCGGGCTTGATAGTGATGCTTTGTCAACAATATATATGTCATAATATGGTAAAATAATTACGTATGCATTATATAGTTTCTTTAATATTATTTGTTTAATATTGTACCTATTTTCCCGAGGGATCAAGACGCTTCGTTTTCAATTGAAAAAACCGTTAAATTTTATGTGTTTAAATAAGCCAAAAAAAAAGGTCAACTATTTAAAAAAATAGTGTTATGCGTTGATTTGAAATTTGTATTGAAATAATTATAATGATATATAGTGCGAAAGAATGATGACGGCACGGCGGTATCATCAAAGGGCCGATTGATGTTGTGTATCTATTGCTTTATTTTATTTGACTTATATTTGAATGTTCTAAATGAAGGTAATGGATTGGATATTGATTTTTCTCGAATGATAGAAAACCACTGGAATTTGTATGCTTAAAAAGACGGAACAGATGGCAATCGCGTCAATGTCGATATAAAATAATTAATAATCGAATTGTGAAAANCCTCTCGAATAGCGAACGATCCGTTAGATTTATTAAATTATTTACCTTTTATAAAATACCAAGTACTCGACCATATTTAAATCTTTTAGTTACATTTTTGTAATGATATAAATAATAAATAATTATACAGTTATAATATTATGTTATGTGAGCATAACATTACAGTAGTCTTCAACATTAAAAATCTTTTCTTCACGCGTACTTTTTCCTGATCACCAGGTCGTGTACTTGACAAGACGATGATACACAGATAAACAGTAGAACACTACCTATGACGAGGTCCGATTTGAATACTTAATGCAGTAACAATGAAATCAAAATGTCGTTATGCGTTAATATCAAATTATAAATATTATAATTAATAGACAACCCGGTATGTGATTATGATCATAAAAATATAGATAATCCTATGACTTATTATGGACATTTATTTTGTTTTCGTATCGCTGTGCTGGTTGAATGGTATTGCACCACACGGTTGTGTCAATATAAAAACCCATATATTTTTAGACTTCTCGTATTAATAAAATAGTATTATCATTTTTTTATTTGAAAGGCAATCTGACTGGGGTAATACTTTATGGAGGTCATTTTTTAAGCTCCAAGCTGTTTTTATAAAAAATGGGAAAAACTGTAAAAAAAAACATTGGAAAAATCAGGAAAATATGTTTTCAATTTTTCATTGTTTGTTTTGATTCAGTTAAAAATATTTGTAGAGACTTGAAGTTTGGACAAAAAACTTATATTTACCTTGTCTAGACATGGTAAAATGTTCAAAACGCTGTATTCATTTTTGAGCTTTTTATATTAGATTTTTACATAAGCTCTACACATTTAAATCAGATTGTAAAAGAAATTGAGAGCCGAATGTCCGGCAGAATGGATAATGAAAGTCGAGAAATTGGAATTTAAAGACATTTGACTAAGTATATTTTTGGTTTAACATAAAACCTAGCTATAAGTACTATATGCACATCTATATCATACATAGGTATGATATATATATATATGATTCATACATATGTTTATATGTGACATTTGAAAAATAGATTATTTTTACTTACTTTATTGGTTTTTCTTAAATTAAAATGAAAAATAGTTTTTACTAGTAGCTAGTAAAAACTCTATTTGACTATTTCATACGATTACCTCATGGATATATTGCTATGGGCGACCGAATTTCTTATATGTAGATTTTACCATTGTATCATTACGCAAAATAATATCATATATTTATTATTTCTATTTTGTACACGTACAATATAAATTTACTAATATGTAATTAATAGTACAAAAATTTATATTTTTTTTTTAACTATTTAAAAACATATTTAAACAGTTTTAAATAAACAATAAATGGGAAAAACGGGAAAATAGGTACAATATTAAACAAATAATATTAAAGAAATTATATAATGCATATGTAATTATTTTACCATATTATGACATATATATTGTTGACAAAGCATCACTATCAAGCCCGGCGCAAATCACATTACCTACCGAACATAAATGTCTAAGATAGGACGCGCGGCATATTTAACATGGTTCATTTTTTAACGTTACAATTTTTATGCTAGTTTACACTCTTCTCAAAAACTATTTCCTTGGGCATTAATGTTTGTATACAATGTAACATTTTACCCCCCCCCCCACTTCATTAAGATCTGCACACGTCTATTTATCTGCTTTTCAATCAAATCAACAACCTATGCGGGTACATTTGATTTTTTTTTTGACTTGTTTGCGTACAAACGCACAACTCGATTGCACACTAATATATTAATATAAGTCTAAACTGGGAATGAGATTTGATTGTTGAAGGATAGTAGGTTGTCATTTTCCATTTTTTCACATTTTTTTGTTGTACGTACGCAAACGATTGTCATGATACAGGTAAAAAAAATGCATAATAAGCCCAAACGAATATCACCCGTGGGAAATACTATGTATTAGCTAATTATAACTAAAACGAACGGATAGACACAGCGGATCTAAGATGTTTTAAACTTATATTTAGAAATCTAAATAGAGTTTCTTGAAATAACTACAGAAATTAAAAAGTATTAATCATTAACAAACATGTTAATGTTTTATTATAGTTTACGTATAATAATATTATTCTATGTCAATATATTGTTGAATTATTTACTCAATAATATGCTCAATATATATGTATAATTTAAAACTCAATATAGAGTAGAAGAAATGTTGATTTGATTTTCACGAAATGCTTTATTAAGTGCCAAAACAGAGAAATTGTAAGCACATATGATTATGGTAAATCTTGAGTATTATGAAAAAAATAAAATATTGTATTGAATTATATTAAAAAAGATGGCGAATTATCAGTTACAGATTGCTCTACCACAGGTCATTGGAATAACTTAAAATAAGATTAGCATATATATTATTATATTATAATACTTATATATTCTATCATACCTACTAATTCATTTTATATTTTATAATATTTTATACTATCAAAGAGCGTTTGTAAAACATTTGTAACGAGGGGAAAATGGGCAAATACTCATAGGTACTGAAATTATTATTTTTATTTATATCAATAAGTTTCATTAAATAATAGAACCAACATGCAAATTTCTCTACTTGCTCCGCCTTAGACATGTGTGTTTGTCTGTCTGTCTATATATGCTTGATATATACCTGAGTCAGAGGCAACATTTCCTAAATTGATGGTAGGATACAATTTTCATAATCTAAATATTAAGGTAGTTTTGGGGGTGGGTGTCACATACCCAATCATGCACCCCCTCTCTATGATTGACTGTAAATCCAATATCTTCTATGAAAATTGGAAATGATCTAATAATGTACATACAAAAGCTGATGAACGGGTCCATGTGAATCTTAATGCTTTAATTCCTTAACTCTTTAGACTGACATAGGGTTTTTGGTGTTTTTGAATATCATGGATTTGAATAATTTGTATAACTATGATCCTTTTTCGTTACGGAGATTGTGATGACTTTGTACGCATTTCCCACAGTAGTCTGAAAATCAAAAAAATGTGGTAAAAATTATTAGTATCTAGAATATATTAAATTAGTTATAGGTACTTATAATAATATTGTATGATGTATTGACTTTAATATACACAGTGGTCAATTTAGTATAAAACACTCACTATCTGAGAATGTTATTTTTAGATATGTTTTGTTTTAAACATTTAAACAAACTTCTTTAAAGTATTATATAACCATTATTTTCTGTCATACTAAGTGTCAGGGTGAAACAACTAGTTTCTTTAAATACAAAAAGTTATTTTATTAATTTGGTTATTGTATGGCATATAATTAAAATAGATAGGTTGTTGGTTTTCTTATTTTAGATCCTTAAATAATTAATAATTTTTAATTAAATCTATAGAAAAAACATTTATTAAACCAGCAATGATTGCTCACCAAAAAACGATTCTGAGCGCAATTTGGTTGATAGTAATACTTTGTTAACGATGTATGTCATATTATGGTAAAATATTTAAATAGGCATAATAGATTTTCTTTAATAATATTTGTTTAAAATTAAAATATTAAAGCATAAAGCCTCTTTATTTTTGCCAATGTTTGGTTACTAAACCGAGTGAATACATTATTACAGAAATAAAAACTTACTCTTACCATAAAATTGGACAACAAATGGGCTGTGTTTAGTTATTGGGACTTCTTGAATTGTATTTCGTACGACTTCACTATCAGAACATTAGCATCAGTAATTCATGAACAGTGTACACCAAACCCATGTTTCCCATAGACAAGTTAGTCACCTTAAGTAGCTTAATTTTTCCTCAATTCTGGCATCTGAAAAAATTTATATGATAAGGTACTGTTTTGGTTTCAAAAGTTTATTGTTAGTTTTTATAACTTAAATAATACATTAATTATATTTAATCCGACTAGACTTTTAGGACTTTGACGCTATTGAATAGAGTTATATAATATTTAAATGGTATAAAAAAGTCAATTTGCATATAAATCTACTAAATTATAACAAATAATCACAGCAGTAAAAAGAGGAATTATACACTGAAGATTAATGACACCCAGTAATATTTTAATGACATTAAAATAAACCACACAAAGATTAAGGTTAAGGTTAAGTTTACCAATTTTATTGTGTCAGAACTCTACAAATTACACTTGATAAAAAATGTAAAGATTTTGAAGAATCAACTTTTTACTTTCATTAAGTTCATAAATATTAATAATTTTTTATAGATTAATACTGAATTAAACTAGTATAACTTGGATATAGTTGTTGGAGAAAATTGTCTAATAATAAGAAGCCGAAAACGCAAAAGAATGTCAGAAAAATTACATAGATTACATAATTATTGATAAACTTAAACAATTTACAAATGATTTACATGATTAAATTCTTAATACTATCGTAGAAAGTATAAGAAGAAGAATAGAGAATTACTACTGATTTATCATGCTTTTCACCAACTAACTTCAATGTAATAACTGAAAATAGACTATCTCATATTGCATTAACCACTTAGGGTAGGTAATAAACATCAATAGTTTAACAAAAATGCTTTAAATGAAAATGCAAAATATGAGCTTTTAAGTTTTGCAAAAAATTGGATCAAATTAAAAAAAAGTATTCCTGAAATCTATTCATATTAAAAACATCAATGTAGAAGGAATATTAGAAAACATACTAAACATGTACAAAAGTTTGTAAGAATTGTATAAACCTTGTTGTCATTTTCTTAGCATAGAAATATTAATACAGGACTTCGCAGTCAGTTGAGGGATTCAAAATTTGGAGCTCCTATGATGACGAGTGTCAAAAATGAAAAATTGGCTACGCTAGACCACAATGAAATAATTATTCTAGTCTTTCAACAAAGTTATTTGTTGTGTAAATATCTAATATTTAAACTAATTTTAATTTTAAAAATTCTAAATTTTAATTATTAAAGGATAATCACTTTTAAGACTTTTATTAGTTTGATTTGTCTAATATTTTGTTAAAAATTTATTGCATTTAAATAAAAAAAAAATTACAAAATACAAAAAATTTCTATTAAGACTGTATAACTTTATAATGAATTGTGCAATAAAGCATGCATTTTAGTTAGTTTATGTTGGTAAATTCAAATGGTCCACTATGAATGCAATTTCCCGATCCAAATTTTTATTCTGATCCGTCCTCGATATTCTACTTTCCCAACTTCTCACTTACAACAATTGTCCATCCATCTTGTGAAGTATGTCGATCCTTTTAAGTGTATTATTATGTCTAAATTAAACATAGTTCAAAAAAAAAATTCTTGAAATTATTTTTAACTATTTAGTAAAAATTAATGTAATCATACAACTATGAGAGTTAACTAACAAACTATTATTTAGAATATTTTTTGTAATATTGTGGATTAAAAATGGTTTCAATTAAGCTTAGCGATTGCTGATCATTGTGAGAAAAATTTGATTGATAACTATTTTTCTGGATGGCAATGATACATTTTAATTTCCCTGCCTGAATTTGGTTACCATTATTCCCCTGATATCCATGATTTCCCTAGTATATATGAAGTACTTTGCGCCAGGTTCGTGATTCGGTCTCAAGATGTTAAAAACTATGAAACATCCAGTGCTGTTCTTCTTACGAAAACTTTTAACTTAAAAAAAAAAAATTAAAATGAATTATTATATTAGAAATAATTATGTTATAATTTATACAACTACCTGGTGTATTAAATTACATAGCTAATTGAATAATGTTTTGACACTAGTTGTATACGTTCGAGTAGTATTATTAAATCTTGCATAACGAAGCTTAGTGGCACCGTGCCTCTAACGAAGTTTAGCAGCACCATGCCGCTTATAATCGCTTTTTTAACCGCACCATGCCTCTAACGAAGCTTGGCGGCGATTTGTGATTATCCGAATATACGGCGTCCTACATGAACGATCTCGGAGTAACGCAGAACTGTGTGAAAATTCGAACAATCTATTGCTAGTGATCATGTTCATAATTATTTTGTTGGTGGCCTTGGTTTGAAGTCACCCTATTGTAGGACGCACGCTCGGCGCCGGTTTTTTTGTGTTTGGCTTAGTTACTATACAATGCGAGGGGACAAACGAGTGCGCGGTGAGGAAGAGAGATCCTGTGCAGATGTTGCGAACGCAAATAATGGTGTCGGTTATTGGAATGGTAACAATATTACGTGTTTAATATTACATTATTTCGAAGATTGTGTAGGACCAATATATTTTATAGCTGGCAGCGTATTTAAAGGATGCTAAACAGCTCTTACAAATACAGTTTGGGACCGTCAACATATTTTCCACGGACAATAATTGGTCTCAACCTTTTTTTTATATTCATATCACATTTTCGAGCAGGATAAGATAAAAAAAATAATTTTGGTCCGTAATTATTATAGTTTTAAAAATTATTATTTTTGGAATAATGTTTATGGAATATTTTAGTTGACATTATACGAGTATTGTCATTTTTAAAATTGCCGATGTGTTATAATCATAAAATAGAAATAATAGTTTAAAATATATCTTAAATAAAATATTTTTGAAAATATAAATTAACAACTAAATCTATGGAGAACAGGCGTAGTTTTAATTTCTTATTCACGGAAAAAAATCGTTCTATTGCAGGAAACAGTGATCTTAATTACCTACCTATACAATAATATTGGGTTATCAAACGTCAGAATTTCAAACTCCCGTCCAAATTGGCGCCCGGATTTGAGAAATGTCCGGATTTTACAAAAGTAAATTAATATTACTATATTATATATATATATATATCGCTAATACAAGAGCGATTAACGATTTATTTCGTAATTTTTATATTTTCGTATCATGAAAAAACCGAATCTGTCACTGTTAGCTAATAAGGTTGTATTTTCCGGAGATGTACAGTTACTGTACGACAATAATAATCGATAAAAATATAATACATAATAACAAATACTCAGTGCTTACCTCTGCAGGTAGGGTTTGAAGGTGAGGCAACAGTTGTCTAGTTTAAGATATGCGTGATCGCAGTAGCACGCATTGTCCGTGGGATTTTTGATGAACGTGCTGATTTGGTAAATCTGGATGACGTACGCCGAGTTGTGCCTGTACAGCAAAGTTTCGCTTCCAGGCAGCTGCCAGTTTCTGCTATGGTATAGTAGTAATACTTAGTATAATAAGTATAGTACTATAGTGTGTTGACAGAGCGTACGCGGAGGCTGCGGCACTCTTTTGGCAGTGGCATACGTTATGCGAACGCACAGAGATAACCACGGGTGAGAGCGCGGTAACGTTCGCGTACAGACGTATGCCGGAGCTAACTACACCCTTCAAATATACAGGGAGTGGTATACTAAATTCTGGTAGTCTGGCACTATGGGACTGCCGGCGTTCAGCGGCGAGTACGGTGAACTTGTAAAAGGGGAAATTATCCACGTGCGCCCGTAGTGTTGCCAACTGCTGTAGATCCTGTTCTTATATAATATAATATATACGGGAAATCTCATAAAGAAAAATACATTTCTGTGAATATATTATATTACATAACTGATACAATACAGTGCTATATATTTTCGGTGAAAATTTAACCAAAACCCGAATAATAATTTTACCCTACCAGATTACCAAACTCTGCTCAGAATTGGGTTTTGATTTTTCTGAGAACAAAATTTGTCTGGTATGTCGTTTTCTTAATAACTGGAATAAAACGGAAATAACGTAGGAAAATCATGAAAGTGATGATGGAGATGGCTAACATCGGGGCCCCAAGGCTCAAAGAGGGCCCCATCATAGTTGCAAACTGGGAGGGTATTTTTAACGCAATAGATTCAAATCAAATCTGTGATGATTTAAAATTTTAAACACAGAGAATAGTGATAGGTACTGATTAAAGAATTATAGTCTAATAATTAATATTGTAGAGTGTAGCACTTCTCGCATGCCAAAGTTATGATAAGCTAATAGGTATTATTATAGGTTATATTACTACAATATTACTTCATTAGTCTATAATATTATATATTAATACTCGTTAACATTCGGAGAATAATAACTCGATAGACGATGGTATCTTACGGGGCAAGAGCAGGGGCGTCATTTGGGGGGCAGGGTATGCGGTTGTATCCTTTACTTTTAAATAGTCCCAATGGCCGGCAGAAATACTGCACCATTTTTATATAACTGAAATATTTTTATATTAACAATGTTGGTATTTCACTGTATAAAAAAAACACTTATGATTTCATTGAAGAGCTTAATAAAATTCATATTGAGCCAGATTGCAAAATGATTTCTATGACGAAAAAAATGTATATTCATCCATTCCTAAGCACGAAACAGTAAATTTTTTATAAAAGAAACTTATACATAGTAATAAATTCAATACAAATGAAGTACAAGAAATTATTCAATCAGTAAATGTAATTATTAATCAAAACTATTTCTAATACAGTAATAAATTATATTCGCAAAAAGAAATGTTAGCTATGGGTTTAAGTAAAGATTATGATAAATAACAATTATAAGTGATATTAAAAATTCGAATTCTCGAGTGACGAAGTTTATGGACGATGATTATTATTTATAAACGAGGGATGATATAATTTATACGTCACGTATTTGTGCGTATGAAACTCGTTTTTTTTCTTGTATATAATATGAGGGAATTGGAATTTTTTTTTCACTCTTACCGGTGTGGTTTCTTTTGTGTCTTTTCTCCCACATCCCAAATAGTACTAAAAACAAAGAAAATGATACCCAGA